CAAAATAATATCTACACCAATCATTTTAAAAACAGATTTTTAAATCATTTGAAATCAACGGTCTGAATTTTACCAACACATTTTGTAACCAAACTTTTGTAACTAAACTTTGTACAAGTAGCTTCATTGAAATTAATATGTTTGTGGGACACGAGAGATGACTTCATCATTGTACCTTAAAAAAAAAAAAGGAAAAATCTTTATCTACATAAAATAATTCGAATCAATCCTATTTAAAAGAGGGAACGAAACACTGTATAAATGTAGAAATAAAACATAAGAATTTGACAAGTAATACATATCCTTGATCTGTAAAGAGTAATTTGTCTTGTAAAATTCTGCAAATGTCTTATTATTATCTTTAATCTTTCAAGTCCACGTCTCGACTAATAAATTACTCCAACATCACTTAAACGTTCAACAAATTTCTAAAATTTGTAGAATATAAAACATAAAAAGAACATCAGAAGAACAAGTTTGATTAATCCTCACTTGTTTGTTGCCTTCTATTTGGCATATAACAATTATGCAATTTAAGAATATAAAAGCATTCCCTGTCTGACTCTTTATTTTTCATACTCATTTTCAATCACACATTAACGCAACAAAATATTTTACATGTAAATTCAAAAAAAATTCCTTCTTTTTAATTCCTTATTTTAAAAAAATACAATTCAAAATATTGATTTTTTCCTCATTTCATTTTATAGTGACCATAAAATAAGGGCATATTTTAAGTAACTGCAGCTTAGTGGCGTTACATGTCCGAGATAGTTGTCAATGTCTCGAGGAGGGGCTCGGTGGAACTTTTCAACAATATGCGCCTAGACAGGTGTGTAATATTATTGGGATTATGTTACTTGTACATAAAGATTGTACAGATTACATAAAATGATGTTTAGGGAAAAATATTGAATGAAAAAAATAACTGTGTTTTAAATTGACAAATGATAAAATACCAAATGTCATTATGTAATCCATCATGTTAACATTTATGTATACGTAGCAAGATCCATATTATTAATCCTTTGCTTGGCCCCTGTTATTTTCAATCTAATTTTTATTTTTTGTGGCCACACGTATTAAATTATTGTTTATGGGTGACAACCATAGCCGTCGTATTTGACTTTTGTAAAAAAAGTGTTTCCACAATAATTGTCATCAATTTACATTTATGTCCTTGACATTACGGTTGTCAAATTGACGTGAATCGATGTCGAGGTAAATGTGTCCAATCACGGTAAATGGTCCAATAAAAAGGAATTAAATTCTGACAAAATAGGTTCAACTTTTGCATTTTTTTTTTTTTTTTGGTTTGTCTCTGTAGAGTAATAAGATTTTTAGCTTGTTTGAGAATGATTAAAATTCAATTAAACTTGAAAATGTAATCGTTATTGGGTCACACTCGTCTAATAAAAGTCAACTCCAATAACTATATTTTCAATTTTAATATACTTTTAATCCCTGCCAAACAAACTCTTTATACAAAAAATGAGCTGCAAACAGGGGGCTAAATTGAAATATACGAAGAAAGTAAGGACTCATTTAATGGAATTTTTTATTTTTTCTTCTATTTTTAATAAAAGTACTTTTGCATGAACTACATTCGATCAGTTTTTTTTTTTTCTTTTCCTAAAAACCTTTCTGGTCAGACTTGCATATCAAAAAATTTATTCAAACGTGTTCAAAAATATCTTCTTAAAGTCAAAAGTCATGTCAAAAGGGACTTAAACGCAAAATTAAAATATAAATATAAAATCCTTCAATTAATATTGTCTTTAATGTAAAAAAATATAATATTTAACTTTGAGAAAATTGTTGCGTTAATCTCCAGTATATGGCCTTCCGCAAGCATATGGCCAACCAGAAAGGAGGGAAAGCATCAATCAATTTATAAACTATTTCAAAATTAAATATATCAATTAATATTTTAAAGTTAAAATATTCATTTCAAATTAACTTTCATAGTTACTACTCATTTGCTAACCAAACATTTCTGAAAATCCACTTCCATTTATATAAAATATATATATATAAATTTGCGAAAAAAAGATTCAGTCTTTCGTAATTGTAGGACATGTAGTCCTTGGTTCATCGCGAACCGCTTCCATTCAATAGTTCGTTAAAATCTGCATGAAAGACTGGCAACACGGGAAGCAAAACAATAAAATGTGGATTATGTCATGGATTAAATATTTGTAATGACCGAAAGAAAAAAAGCATCATTTGACTTAAAAGATATAACAATTGGATTAGCCCCTGTTTGACCACATATTTTTCAATAAAATAATATTTTTTATCACATCAAAAACGTTTTCTTCATTTTCAACCACATATTCTCCATCACATCATTTCAAAAAAATGCATTCTTTCATTTTAATGTATACCAAACAGGCTCTAACTTCAAATATGAGCAGCGCCTTACAATCATGAACATGCTATGTAGCATTGACTTTCACATGAACAAACTCCAAAAGTTAAGTCTATTAAGCTATTCAATTATTTAAGATTAATAGAGCTAGTATAATGTATGTGAACACTATAGCCACATAAATAATAAAGTTAACATCATTAATTTTAGGGAAAATTGCGACCGTGGTCCCAAACCTTTCATTTTATTGTAGATTACACCCAAACCTTTTATTTTTGTGGCCGAAATCCCAAACCTTTATATGTAGTTGTAGCGTCAGTCCCAAACCTTTAATTCCGTCCATAAAACCGTCAGTCAACGTTTCAACAGTAATTTTGACTCAAATAAATGCAATGCTGGTCCCAAAC